AGGTATCCATTGAAACTGAAATATAAATATACAATTCAAATAAATAAAATATTTTAATTATATCTAGCATTTTAAATTAAAATATTAATATTTAAACAGGTTTAAAAACATACCTCAGACCCAACTTTTGTATCAATAAGTAGACGAATTTCCTCTAACCCATTAGGTATACTTCTATGGTTCTTTCTTTTCATCGACCACCTATGAAATATAATATAAACTAAATATCACCCTATTTAATTAAAAATATTTAAATCAAAATTTAGTTCAATAATTACCTCAACAATAAGGGGAATACGTATGGTTCCTTCACGATCGGGTATAAGAAAGGCATACGAAACCACACCCATGATTGCAGAAGCATGAGACATCCACCGATAGCAGTTTTCTTATAATTCGTCGCCTGACACATTTCTCTAAAGAGAAATGCCAAAACTACAGTGCCCCAACTATATCTTCCAGCTTCATCAAAATCGATCAGATGCCGCAACCACATACAATGCACCTGGTTGCGAGATTTGTCGGGCATCAATATTCCTCCAATTATTCGTATAATATATGCCCGAGCACATGCCTTTGCTTGATCCTCTGAAGCATTTTCATTTAAAGCCTCAAAATTAGCTTTCAACCAAGATAAAGCTATTTTACCTCCATTAAACTCTGGTGGAGCAGCTCCAAGATAATCAATGCACATTGACTGCCAATCACCATCCGCCATACCACACATCATATTTCCGTCGACGGGAAGCCCCAGATGCATAGAGACATCCTCCAATGTAATTGTAGCCTCTCTACATGGAAGGTAAAAAGTGTGTGTCTCGGGCCTCCACCTCTCAATCAATGCAGAAATTAGGACAGGTTTAAGTTTGCAACCGCCAATAATTGTTGCAATATATCCGAACCCGGCAGAAGCCAAAAATTGCAAAATACGTTCCGGTGTCGGTATACGTGGATTTTTAATAAATGTATCTAAAATACGATCAGTATCCTAAATAATATGCATTATAAAAAATTAAAATTAATATAAATTCATAATAATTTTAAATTAAACATAACAATAAATATTAACATTAATTATAAAAAATATTACAATATCGCTAAAAAATCTGGAGATATGGTCAGCATCCAATCGCAGCAGCATTTCACTTTCCATTATAACTGTAGACAAAAAAAATAATTAGCACAAAAAATAATTAATTAATAAATTTAAATAAATAATAATTATATAAATATTATTTTAATAAAAAAATAATATTTATATAATTATATTAATATAAAATATAATAACTATTTAAAAAAATAATAACTGAAAAATAAATTTCTTACCACTAATAAGAAATTTAAAACTCAAAGATTTGAGTTATATAAGAAAGGAGAAGATAATTTTGGTGTGAAGAATGAGGGGGTTGATGGGGTTTATATAGGTGGAGGAGGAGGGGTAGTTGAGGAAAAATTAGATGGGCATTTAAGACATTTAATGAAAGGCGCGCCCTCGGGGATGCGTCTTTCACACGTGGCATCCAACTCAGCGTAAAATCATGTAAAGTGCGCCCCTGGGGATGCGCCTTTCGTCACCTCACCTGAAAGGATACCACTTCGAAAAATATAGAACAAACAGTGCTCAAAAAGAAGATATTCAGTTAAAGGGTGTCAGTTGGTCAAATCGTCCTATTATTAATGGAGCAATTGATTGATGGACAAACCTAATATGATGCTGTTAAACAGTCACTCACGACGTAATGATGCTGTAAAAATAGACTTGCGTGTCAAACATTATTCAATAAATAATCCTTTTTTCAAGTACTAATCAACACATACACAATAAATTTATATCTCTATATGTCTACCAAGTATGCTGCAAATAATGCATGAGAACTTATGATTAAACACACGTGATAGGCAACTTTCATCTCTAGAAACAGTCTCTAGTAAGCTCTAGTGTAAGGTATGGATCATAAATATATCGGTAAAGAGGACAGGGGATGGAGCGGAGTGAGCGAAGCGAACATCAACTGTCCTTACAAAGAAAGTCTCGTAGAGGGGGTTACGATTATGTGGGTTGGGGGTGCGGGGGATGTGCCCCCGCGGTACGGTACAGGGTTAATTTTGTAATTATGTACCGGGGTTTTCTATTATAAATAGAGATGTAACCTAAACCTATGAGAATTGAATAAAATTTTCTAGCGCCGCCTAGGCACCGAGGACGTAAGCACATTGCCGAACCTCGTTAAAATTCTTGTGTTCTTTTGTTTACTTTGCCCGATTTATCAACATCCAGCAATGGAAATCAAATCATTAACACAAAATTACATAAACATGCATCCGTAAGATATATTAAAATAAGATTCAAGTTTAACATCTCAAAATAAACATTCAACTTAAACCAAATCGTTTTTCCCTTCTCGAGTATGAAAACAATAGAAAAAGATGAAACCGAATCAATCGATCATCACTTCTAATGACTTAGCTACTCCACGTCCGCTTGCTACCTTCCTCGATGGTGGATTCAAGCTACCATGGCTGTTCGGTTGAATAAAAATAGAGAAAAATTATGGAGAAGAAGATGTGTTAAAAGTGTGAAGGAATACTCCATTTATAAGCCCCAAAGGTCAAAGCATCCCCCAATAAGAAAAGTAGGGGTTTATCCTTTATTTTCCAACCATTTTACAGCTAGAATGGACAACTATCTGATTCCAGAAAATTCCATAAATGTCTGGTGACTCATCAATTGCTGTAGATTCGGCTCATAAATTCTATCTGGCATCGGCTCCTAGCAACATTAGAGTAGAAATTTACAACAGAAACATTAAATTCAACCTAAGAAATAACAACTCACTCCCAATATGCAATTTATGCAAAAATACTAAAATAAATCTAACGATCCTCATAATGCTAAAGTTCAAGCTAAACCTAAATGTAAAAGCCCTAAATAATAACTCTTTTAGAGAGTTATTAGTGATCGATAATGAAAATTGATGGTGATCGATGACAAGTGATGGTCGGTAACGAGAATTTTGATGGATTTAGGGGTTAAATTTATCTTTTATCTAAAATTTAAGATTTAAATAAATATTTTATATAAAATTTAAGATCAAATTGATATTCTATCTAAATTCGAGAGTTAAAGTTAAAATTTAACCATATTTACCAATGGATTAATTATAAAATAAGTTCACAAACTATACCGTTTTTTCTCTAATAGGTGCCCAAACTTTTTTTGATTCATCCAGAGTGTCTAATATTACAAACATTACCACTTTAGATGCCCTGATTATAACAATTGTTAGAAAACTCCGTCACGTGACACATGTCATGTTCTGATAATTTTAAAATTTTTTATTTAAAATAAAAAAACTTTAAAATATATTTTTATTAAAAAAGCCCAATATTTTCAAAAAATTTAAACCCTACCCAAAAAAATCATAATTTCAATCCTATACCCACTAGGGGTGTACAAAAAATCCGATCCGATGATCTAGTGATCCGATTCGAAAATTAGGATATCCGATCTATTTTTTGAGAAAAATTTCAATTTTGGATTGTCCGAAAATCTGAAAATATATTAGGATTTTAGATTTTAGATATCCTTTAGCCCAATAAATAAGTAACCCACTAACTTATTAAAGCTCTAACCCAATAAAAGTTAGGATATTTAATTTTTTATTGTGTGTGAGTGATTAAATATATATTTAATTTTTTTAATGGACATAATTCCTAAAGTTTTCACTTTGATTAGTTGTATTGTTAAAATTGTATTTTTTTTCGATAAAAAAAAACAGAAAGCAGATGGTACCAATTGAAAGGCGAAAACGAAGCAACGATGGAAAATATTTAATTGATGTATATAAACATCGTTTACTCCATAACATTAAACTAGTCAAATAGTTCATCCACATCTTTAAAAAAAAACAAAAATGGAGAATTGAAAACAAGTCAGTCGCTTTGGCCGAGTTGTTAAGGCGTGTGACTGCTAAGTACATGGGACTTCCCCGCGAGAGTTTGAATCTCTCAGGCGACGTTGGCTTTTTTGCATTGAACCCCCTCTAGTTTAGTGGCGAAAATGGAGCAATAACAGAAAGTATGAACTCCTTTTACTTCATACCATTAAAGTGGTAAAATAGTTCATCTACACCTTCAAAAAATGCAGAAATGGAAACACATCCAAGAAGGATTAAATCTTTGGTTTTTATTCCAAATAACAAGCAGCTGCTTTCAAACACAACTTCAACATGCTTGGGTGAATTCCATATGGACGATCAAATCAATCACACGGGAATTGTAAAACAATACAAGCTTTGTCAAAATAACCAGGATTCCAAAACCCCAGACTTCAAAAGGAAATTAAGAGAGACATGTATTTTTTCAAATGCGTCGTCAATGTAAACCCAGAATTCCCTTAAACTTGCCCTCGGACTCGGCCCTGAAATCATCTGGTTATACGGATAAGAATAAGATTTATTTGATTAAACATGAAGGCAATGGGTCCAGTAATTATAATAAGACTTACTTGATAGCAGCTTTGATCTCATCATACGATGCAGACTTCACAAGCCTTACGGTGAGGTCCACGACGGATACATCAACGATAGGAACTCGGAAGGACATTTCGGTTAGTATCCCATTGAGGGCAGGAAGAACCTTTCCAACAGCCCACATATTCACAATATCATCGAATACATACGTAAGAATAAACCGAATATTTAGCAGCATGATCCTTAATCAATTAACACTTTTCATCTAATAAAGACTGTTTTAACAAAAAAAATATTGATCCTTAATCAACTAATTGAAAAAACCATAAATTGACAAACTAAAAGGAGAAATAGAACCCCAAAACATCCACGCACAGCCTATGCTGTCTAAGGTTCTTCCAACTTTACATAGGCAAATCAAAGAAGGGTAAACGGCAGAAGAGAGAAGGCACATTCATTCTAGTTACGACACTCATCAGGGTGAATGAGCCCTCTCGATAAATCTTTTGAACTTAAATTTTAGGGCTCATTCCAAAGAATTAGCCCTCCAAAAATAAGCGTTTGCCACTTTAAACAGCGAGCACACAGTATTCTTTAGTAAAAGACGAAAGAATAGTTCGCTTTGGGTTCACTGCGTGGCTGCGTAACTTATTGAACTGGATTTACAGCCGTTTTATATTTGGTTCAAGGCCATTGGCGTTTCTATACTACCAATGTGGGATTATACTATAAACCTTGTTTGCTGAGCGTTACTAAGAAAAAGGTATAGCAAGTACAGAAAAAACCATGAAAAACGGGCCAAGGTAACACTGCTTTGAACATTTTTAAAAATAAAGCAATTTCAGTCGGTATTTTCAAATTATCATAGAAGAGTCAGTTCTAACTAGCACGTTGATATGATTTTAGGATTGAAAGCCACATGTGGTTTGAACTTAGACGTACTGCAGCCTGCAGGCATGATGGAACTTATGCAACATTGAAAAGAAAATGATATCAGTCAAGAGAATTTTTCGATTCTCAAGGATGCCTATCGAAGTCAACTTAGTTATCGAGGGCTGTAGACCAAAGCCTTACTGTGCAACCAAATGAAGAATCGAACTTGAGAATGAGAACCTTCATGTGTGATGATGTGATTACCACGGTTATAGGTGATTTATCTTTTCTAATTTAGATGGAGGTCAAAGTCGGTCGAAAATCGACTGTTAGTTGAGGTCGATGAACAACTATAACAACAGGTAAATGACACTTTTAATACTCAACTCTCTTTTCAACCCCCAATACAAACATTAATTATATCTAATTAAAATTTTATTAAATTTTCCAACCTCCCAAACCAACTACTCCTATAACAATTCCCCTTCATTTTAGTTTATGCATTCTCTCCCGTTTGTAGGAGTTGGCATCCACGGGACCACTTGGCCATTTCACTAATTTACTGTTTAAAATTCCTCTTGTTTCAAGTGTGGAGCTGTCTACGGTGAAACCAACCTATAAAAATAAAGGAGATCTCTAATATTGTGGTAACTACAGAGGTATTAAACTATTCAGTCATATTATGAAGCTATGGGAAAGGATGATAGAGGCTAGGTTGAGACAGATTACTAGGTGTAGACACATGTTTTTGTCCAGATATACAAAAATATTTTATTATAAGAATAAAGGAGATCCCGAATATTGTGGTAACTACAGAGATATTAAACTACTTAGCCATATTATGAAGCTATGGAAAAGGGTGATAGATGCTAGGTTGAGACATATTACTAGGTGTATACACATGTTTTTGTTCGGGTATACAAAAATATTTTATTATATTATATTTATTTATTTATTTATTTATTATTATTATTATTATTATTATTATTATTATTATTATTATTTACAGGCCCCACACTCAACAACCTGATTTAGTAAGATTTAGAAAATAAATCAATTTATTTGAGTCCTATTGAAATACTAAAACTAACGTATTTGAGTCCAAGTATGACTCTAAATCTGAGATAAAAATAGGTTTCTTTAGACTATAAATAGACTCAAGCATCAAGAGGAAAGGAGAGAGAAAAACGTGGAATCAAAATCAGATGAAGGGGAAACGATTTGGAAAAACCGAGGGAAGAAAAGGACAAAAATAAGCGTGGAGGATCCAAAGCCAGTATCAAAAAGTACGAGGAGTGGCAGAGCATTTTCATTGCAAATCTAGTTTCTCTACACGCAAAACATGGGAAATATAACAACTTTTGTTTTATTCTTTTTATTTCATTTATTTATTTATTTATTTTATATATATATTTCATTTTCTCCTAATTTTAATATTTTTATTTCTTTTTACATTGTTATATATATATATATATATATATTTATTTTTTATTAATATTATTATATTAATATTTTTTATTATTCTTTTCTCATGTTTATTTTCATTTTTACAATCCAATACTTTTGTCTTTTTAGGGATATTTTTAATCGATCAAAGGTAATTAATTCGGATTGAATTTTTGAATTTCAATTTAAATGTTAATTTTCGCAAATAAAGACAACCGGAAAATTAATTGGTACCAAAAGGGCGGTTCAAGGGTGCTAATCCTTCCTTGACCGTAACCGACTTCTGAACCCGACACGTTTCTGGTACAACGCAGATCAGGTAAGATGGTGTCCGACCCACCTAAATTTGTTTTAAAGTGGTCGGTGGCGACTCCCAAATCATTTAATCCAAGTCGAAGCCCAATTTCGGGCCCAACCGAAAGACGGTTCCGACAGCTTGGCGACTCTGTTAGGGACATGTAAGCGAGTTAGGCCGAAATTAATTTCTGGTTGTCTTTTTTAGCGAAAATTACAAGTTTAAATTTTAATTTATTTATTCGATTCTAATTATTTATCTTTGATTATTTTCAAATAAATAGTTGTACTGACGTTTTTTCAATGATTTCAGATTTTTAAAGTTTTTCATCTAAGGCTCTATACCCGAGCTTCGAACTCTATTTAAGTGGGGGTGAAAGCAACGCCTTCGTGAGAATTTATTCTCCGTGCGAGCCTAGCAAGTAACCTTCGGGATTCACATACCTTATATCTTCGTGTGAATTTATTCACCGTGCGGGCATAAGTGAATGTTTCCTCTCGAGTTTGACTTAGTCCACACAAGCTTGTAATGGGCTTAGGACTAAGGGTCTGGCAAGCCCAAGGGGGCACCGACAAGGAGAACTCAAGTACCCTTTTTTAGAACCTAAATTGGGATAGTACAAGGAATTAGAGTCCACCCCAAAACCTCATTTCAAACCCTAGACTGCTTTGTTTTCTACTTTATTTTCTGTTTAAAGCATGCGAACTAGACAAATATGCGGTTAGGATTTGTTTTAAATAAGCATGCGGAATAGAGATCATGTCCGGGTAGGAATAATAAGCATGTGGGGTAGATATCATGTGGGGTAGGATTTTTCATTTTTTATTGTTTTGATTTACCTCACTAACTCTTTATATTTATTGTTCTCTTTCATTTTGTTCTCATCATTCGCATCATTTAAAAGAGGTGTTGATCCACCAAAAACGTGTTTGTTAAACATGAATAATATGTATTAATGGACAAAGGGGTTGTAATACAAGAGATAAAAATGCAGACGACAGTCTACAAGGCGACTATGTGTCATATTCAATCCAGAAGACATGGTGCCCACAATTGAAGAGTATATCACTCTGCTGCATTATAAAGGACTCAAAATGATCCGGGTCTACATCAAGCATAATTAAAGTCTATCTTTGAAGAACTAACTGGCAAAGATTGTAAAGGCAAGATGAGGAAAAGGTTACTGACCCGGACGCTCATTTTGAAAACTACGAGAACAAGATGTCGAAACCCTAGCTGAGCTAAATGTCATTGCTGACGAATTCAAGAAGCAAGCTTCGGATAGTTTCTATCGATGGAGGGCTCCAATGGTGTTGCCATTAAGGAACATACTTAGCATAGAGTGGAAGCCGAAGGTGCAGTCCTTCGAGACTTTTCTGGGGCAAGCAGCTCGTCATTTGTACGGTTCATCCAGAGAAGCCAAAGTAGTTCGACAAGTTATTCAACCGGTGATAGACGAAGGCAGAAGACTAGTCAACATATCAGAAGCTGTCAGAATTTTTTCTCTTAAAAGATAAAATACTTTTGTCCCCAATAAGGATTATTTCTAATAATAGACATGTTTTTGGATCAATGCCTCGAACATTTCATGCATTTTTGCATTTTGCATTTTGCATATACATTTCGTTTTTAAGCATTTTCATAAACATAAAATTTCTTCATGGAAGATTCGATGAAGTGGTTTTAACCACATGACACCACATGGAAGTAAGATTGTAACATCAAAAGAAAAAAAATGAAATCACAACGAATGAACCCGATCAGCTGGTTGTACGACTAAGCCTGTCAGGATGATCTGAGAAAAGAGTCCACATATCTTAAGGGCTACGATGTTGAAGCTGTTTGCAGTTGCCACATAGGATGCTCCAAACATTCATCTGAGAACTATAAGGCGCTGAAGCGCGAGATCCAAAACCTGATGGATTCAGGGGCATGGACAGCCGAAAAAGGGGGCATTGCATATATCATTTGCACTTAGAGGATTGTTTTGTTTGAACACGTCTTTGATCTTTCATGTTTGCTTAATCTTTTAAACGATTGAATTTATGCTACTTTCTAAGGTGGAGCAATTGAACAAATTTTAATTTTTAGTTCTTCTAATATTAAATGAATTAAGGATTCTTTTAATTCTTCAAGAATTATAGATTTTTTACATATGACAAGATTAGACATTTCTTATCCTATCTCAAACCACAAAATAAAATACCTTGATTCTTTACCCAAAATAACTCATAGTCATTACCAAAAAGACCAAATTTTGACATAACCTCCCTTTGAAATTTTTTAACAATGTCTTTATCTTTTTGATACACCCATACCTTTCTTTGAGTCAATAAAGGCACACCATTGTCTTTTTAGACTCAAAATTGACATTTTTATACCATTAAAACCCAAGGCATTGAGTTGTTCATTTGAATATGAGCATTCTTCTAAGACACAACTTGGGGCATATCGTAGGGAGCCTGAACATTGAGACATGTTGGGGACAAGAAGCAGAAAGAAGAATTCACTCGAAATAATTCTATCATGCATTAATTACACTATTTTCATGTGAATAAAATTAATCCTGAAAATCTATCCACCTGGGATACCTCTTCTGTGAAAGCTTCCATGTATGAAATGATGAACGGCTTTATTTCTTTACTCCTTCATAACAGGAGAAAATATATATCCATTGTGTCCTCTTTTGAGCCTATAGTATTTTTCTTATGATTAAACCCTAACCAAGGATCATCCTCCACACTGGGGGGCAAGGTGGAGAAAATCTGCTCGCATGAGTGAAGACATTAATTCAGATGAGATACCGAAAGGTGAACCAAATGGCAAGTGTGAAGATTCAATCAAGAACAAAAAGAGAAAAAACAAAGAGAAAAAACAAAGAGAAAATAAAAAGAGAAAAAACAAAGGAAAATTGAAGAAAAAAAAAGACAAGATGCACATGCAAAGATTCTCTCGATTCAAATGACGCATCGAGATTCAAACTATGAGATTGATCAAGCACAATCATTTCCAAATCACTGAACCACT